CTTTCTTAATATACCAACCTTTCTGATTTATGCTTCATCAAAACCTGACAGTATTTGTCCTCAAAACAAAAACTGATAATAAAGACTTCCTCTATGCATCTGAAATAACTTGGGGCAGAATTTAGATTGCATTTCGCCAATCTGCAGACTTCAAGAGAAACAAAAAAACTTTCATTATGTTTTAAGGCTCTTAGATTACAGGTTGGAGTTTCAGTTCTTAGACAAGCAACTTTTAAAATAAAAATAATTTCCTTTCCAACGATGTCAAACGTTACTTCTCAGCTTTTTTTTTTTTTTTTTTTTTTACGATTTCAGCATGCAGCATCTTGGAGAAGCCATTTATAACAGCTTTTCTTGCTGAGTCAACAACATTCTCTCTCCATTTGTATGTCTTTGCACAGCCTCATTTTAAATTCACTTTTCCGAATAGCATACACTGTGCTTGAGTTTTGCCTCTTTATGCCACTTTCTGTCATGCTCCATTCAGATTTTTTTTTCTAGCATGTCGACTAGAAAATGATGAAATGGCAATTTTACCTTATCTTTTAATTTTGTTTCTTGATCTGTCCATAGTATTAATAAACCTCAATAATCCAGTTTAGGCCTTTTTAAATTGCTCCCTCTTTATATGCATGTGACTGACATAGCTTTGTAAAGGAACCTAACCTCCAAAGGCTAAGCAGCAATGAATAAAAGGCTTCATTTAGCAGACAGGTGGAGCAGAGACTCCTCCATCCCATCCCTCACAGCAATTAGAGAGACCAGGAAGTGCATTATTTTTATGATCTCATAAAGACATTAGAGACACCACCGCACCGACCCTCATCACTGCTCAGTTTACTAATACCCTTCTTGTTTTTAGCTCTCACTCAGTTCCCTACAGCTCCATAGGAAGATCTTTGAAGAACTTATTTCTTCTTCTTTGTTGATTTCTACCCTGTAATCGTCTTTTTGAAGTCTCTATTTATTTTGTCACATTTCAAACGGCTATACTTTCAGACTCAATGAAAAGCTTGTTCTTTGTGCAAACACAGAGGTTACCATTTTTGCCTCTTGTCCTTTAGGCTTTCATGGTTGTTCCCCGTCTGAGCATGTTTTCACTCTAGCAATTTTTGACCATTGTGCATCATTCAATGGTTATTTTGCATGAGCATGAAACTGTCCATTACACGGTCTGTCTCCACGTCCGGCGGTGAATCAAAATGACAAGACGGAGTGACTCACCTGCCTGTCATTTCCTCATACATTAGAAAAATGAAACCTTGTGACACACTGTGGTTTGAGCCCGTTCAACCTCCCCTCTACTTATGCAGATACACACCAAAAGAGATCAGGGCTGCAGTTTTGAGACACATGGCTTTAAAAGCCAGACTCAGCTGCTCCTCAAAGACCTCTTTCCATGGGAAGACGCACTTGAGAGGGAAATGGAGGAAGAGGAAAGAGCTGTAGCATGTTTAGATATTTCCCAACATCCTCCACCTTCATCCTTTTGATCCCCCCGTCCTTAAGAGAAGTCCTGCATCCTTTGAAAAGTCCTTAAACAATGGGCTTGTGTACATACATTCAGTTTATGTCTACATTAATCTCAGATGGCTGATATTGAGTGCATTTATCAAAAAGAGTGACAAATCCTCTAAATGATTTTGACATACAGCTCAGTCATTAAACTGTTGCCCTACACAGTGGCTCAGTTGGTAGAGCTGCTGCCTCTCAATGAGGTCACCAGATCGAACCTCGGCCAGGGGCCTTTCTGGGTGGAGTTTGCATGTTTTCTCCGTGCATGCATGGATTTTCACCGGGTACTTTGGTTTCCTCTCACAGACAAAAAACATGCATGTTAGGCCGAATGGTAACTCTAAATTGTCCCTAGGTGTGAGTGAGAGAGTGAATGGTTGTTTGTCTCGTTTGTCTCTATGTGGCCCTGTGATGGACTTGCGACCCGTCCAGGGTGTACCCCGCCCCTCGCACAGTGATTGCTGGACATGGGCACCAGTGACCCCCGTGACCCAAAATGGAATAAACGGGTAAAGATAATGGATGGATGGATGGATGGATGGATGGATGTCTCCATGTGGCCCTGTGAAGGACTTGCGACCTGTCCAGGATGTGCCCCGCCTCTTGCACAGTGCAGGATATGGGCACCAGTGACCCCCGTGAACCAAAAAGGAAGAAAAAGGTAAAGATCATGGATGTATGTTACCCTACAGAACTGTAAGAGCCTGAAAGATCATTTCATCATGTATTCTAATGCCCTATTTCTACAATGCAACAATACGAGTACTTTTCCTACAAAAAACTTGATAAGACGGCGAAAAATATAAAGATATAAAGACTAGCTGCCTGTGCATGAAGCAAGAAAGAGAGAATAAAAAAAAAACAGAAGAAAGGAACTAAAGAGAACTGAAAATCTTCTCAGACACACCAGCAACAGTGTGTGATACATGAAGAGCCTGAAGAGAGAACTGAGTGCTGCTGAACTGGGTTGAAATGAAACGAGTTAACCTGAAATGAAATGAACTGAAATATACTGGATTGAATTTGCTCTGTCTTCTGCAGATTGTGTGGTGCAAGTCATATTGAAAGTTCTGCAGAGAGCTGGATGATGCAACACAAAAAAGTGAAAAATGACATTTTTGTTGAACGGATGTATCAGAAACAACTTAAACAAGGGAATGGAGAATACACACATAGTATTTGTTAATATTGCATCGATAACAGTAGTAATAATGTATGATGCTCTAATAGTTTTAGGAAAATGATATAAATAAAGAATAATTTATGTTCTTTCTCTGTTTAAAACAAACAAACAAAAAATCTAAAGCTATAACCAGTAAGAACAATCACACATTACTATTCTAACCTCCGGGTGGAAGGTTGAGGTGAAGGAGTGTTTCATAAGAAGGGAGGATGACAAGAACAGAGAGAAACGACGTTTTCTTTCCCCTCTTGCTGCATCTCTTTTTAACCATCCCCCCGTCTGTGTGTGTTGGTGGCCATTCTGTCCATGCTTGCATGGAAGGAAATGATTTACTGCTGCTTTCAGCTTCACACAGAGAGTGAGAAGATTACTCACCGAGAGGCTGCTCAAACTGGGAACCGCCGAAACACAGTTAAGACAATGAGGCGGCTCCTCAGCCAGTTTTCATTCCTGTGTTTTGCCTCGTGGGTAAGCCGTTTTCCAAGGTAATGATTTATTTTTCCTTCACAACATCCCTAAAGTGTTGGACTGTTTTTATTCTAATGGATGCTGAAGGCGAACAATAACGCTTCCCACAACACGAAACGCATTCTTTGTGATCACACAGGTTGAAATTGTATGCAGTGGGCTCTAATATTATGAACATTAAGGCTGATTAGAACACTTTCATGTCATAAAACTTCTTTGCTTACCTTTTAAATTAAGTTCCTATGATCAAAACCTGCGTGGATTGGAAAGGTTTATGTGATTTTCTAAGAATTTCCGTCAGTGTGGATTTAAAGTTCGGCTCCTGGCGTTGATGAAACCACTAAAACCTCATTTCTGCTCTTCAAATGTTTTATCTGTAGTTTTCCTCCCTGAAAATAATCCTCTCATGACTTAAAACTGCTTAGATGTACTTCAACACCTTTGCCTCATTTAGCAAGCGTGGATGTATGAATATGCAAATCAGTCCCCGCCTCCATCTCCACTGTCTGTCTACTCAGCTCAGACGCTGAATGAGAGGAGGCTCTGCTGGATTAGGAGGGAGAATTGTTCACCTTCAAGTTGGTTTATTGACACATTATTTTTTGGTGTCACACTTCCCAGTGGCTAAACAATGTGAGAAAACTGGATTTAGTTATATTACAATGCTCATTATCCAAAATCTATCTTTTAAGAGAAGTTCTCATCAGAAACTTGATTAATATTTTTCTTGTTTGCTTTAACAGTGATATAAAGTAGTAATAATGTGATATAAGCTCCTTTGGTCACACTTTAAGACATTTTTTGTTATAAACAAGCCCACTGATAAGTGTACTCGGAAAGAGCATGTTAAAGTTGTTTGTTTGCGTACTAAAACATCAATTTGTCTGAAAGTGGTTGTACCATTTTGCTTGTGTAGGACAAACAGACAGAAAGATTAGACTAAAAATATCAGTATGAGAATTGCGAGTTCAATAGAAAGGAGAAATGAGTGGGAGAGAAAAAACAAGATAACACACAATAGACAAAGGTGGACAGAGATGCTGACTCAAACAGGTTCTCGACATGAGGGGAACACAAACTAGACCAGGAGTCTGCAACCTGCGGCTCTGGAGCCACATGTGGCTCTTGCAAGTTTTGACCAAAACTAACATAAACTGAATTTTATAGGATATTATACTGTACCAACAACAAAAAAGACTAGTTTTAGCAGTTGTCCTGTCATTTCATTTGCAAACATGTGGATACTAGTACTAATACACAGAATAAATTATACTCTCTTTAACTTCATGCTTTATTTCTTCTAGGATACTCAATTTCTCCACAAAAAAAACAAAACAACAAAAACTGGCAAAATAATGTATTATTTTTTTTTTTACAAGAATCCAGTCTTCTGTGATAGACTTGCGACCATATGGGCACCAGTGACCCCCTGCAACCTGAAAAGTAAGAAGCGAGTAAAGATAATGGATGGATGGATGGAATCCAGTCTTTTATTTTGTCTCAAAATGTAAAAATATCAATAATTGTTAACAATCACTGGATGTTTTTAGTATTATAATTTCACGCCTACTGACCAGAAACTTAAAGTGGCCCATGGGCCACCAGTTGAAAATGACACTTGTAGCAGGTTTTGCGGCTCTGGACACATTTATTTTAGTGAACAAAGGGACATAAATGGCTCTTTTGATCCTAAAGGTTGCAGACCCCTGAACTAGACAAACATTTTCAATCCAAAACTTCAAATCATGCACACACCAAACCTACCCTTGCTGCTGCACAACGGACTCAGGTAACACAGATGGGTTTTAGGAAAGTTAGTAAACTGAGCTCTCACCTTCTGATAAATCATTATTGTCTTTTCCTCATTGCACGCTGCCTGGAAGGTGTAAATGGGGGGAAGTGGATGCGGGTCTGTCCAGGTCTCATCTCTGTGGTGAACACTGGAAATTCTTTCACTTGTGCAAGCTCCTTCAGTGACCTGAGACGGCAAAAAACAAACAAAAAAAAAAAGACAAAGGGTTAAACAAATCAATAATCTCAAAAAGCACCACGTGTCAAACAAAACTGTGTACCCAAAAATATGTGTATGTTTCATACCAATGGAATAAAAAGAAGTTTAGCCAATCAAAGTGTTTATTCATTTAATGCTGCATTCCATTCTGACTGACACATAAACATTTTAAACGGAAATCCTGACTAACTTCCAGTGTTTTATTGCAGTGAAAAACAAAATGACTCACAATAAACAGAAGGTTAAACACAGAAAACAGTTACCGACAAGCAATCAAAGCCATATACAATGATGAATATTAAATATTAAAGCATTACATAGCTCCACGGGTGTCATTTACAGTTTGCATACCTGCTGGCTTGTCACTGTGTCCGTTCTGTCTCTCTTTTGATTGCATAAACTGTTTTGACATGCACTGTTTAGGTCATTTTATCATGGCTGTAACTGCTCTGAAATAATTGACACGGTTTGTTTAGTGAGTGTGCGTGCAGGGGGTGTCTTACAGTGAACTGATGAAATTGCTAACAGCTGTGACAGCCGCCATTGAGCACGCAAACACTCTTTTCGCCATCTCATTTGTAGAGTACAGCTGCACGCAGAAAGCATGGGAGTTAAGCAAATAATGCACAATGGCCAGAAAACAATGCACGAGCCCGGTCCCTCCCCTATCACTCGCACACACACTCGCTCCAACTGCAGCATTTTTAAGAGCGTGCCAGCTGCATGTGTGAAAAAATGACTAGCGCTGCTTGTCTTCTTTATGGCTTTGAACAGAACAGACACCCCTGCTACCCTCCCATTCATTCCCATCTCTTTTCTTAATGATGAACCTCCTCGGTTGCGCTGTCTCTTCGTTTGAACCCTTCCAACCGCGCCCCTCCAGTCTGGTGTCGACCCTCGAACACGGCAGCAACAGTGCTCCTTTGTCTGCCCCCCTCCCCTCCTCTCTCGTCTTGCCCCCATCCACCCTGCCCCGAGTGATGCTGGTTGGCGGGGATGGAGGCATGCCTCAACAGGAACACCAGGAGGAAAGGAAGGGACGAAAAATGTAGATAAAAGTTAGATCAATTAAAAAAAAAAGAAGCCTGCAACAATCTCTGCTGATTTTTGAAATTCTTTCATTTCTGTATGCCGGTTCAGCTGTGCATGACTGGGAGCTTTTGAAAAGCATTTGTGAGGTGCACAGGGAAAGAAGAAGGTGGGTTTAAAGTGACCACACCCTCAGTGAACCCAACGACTCTGGACTCAGCATCGCGGAAAGTCACTTGCAGAGAATCGCAGCTGGTTTAGACTGGAAGGCTAATTTTAAATTCTTAAGTAAAGATGAAAAAAAATAAAAAAAAATAAAGGATTTTTATTTTTATTACTGCTCTTTGAAAGATGGCCCTGTTCACTGGCTTTCACGGTTAAAAAATAAAATAAAATGTGTGTAATACTCCAACAGGGAATATGTAAAAATAGCTTTTAAGCACACAACATATAATTTCTCATTTATGCAAAGAAAACACTGACTCTGCCCACTGAGGTTAGTCAGGACATAATTTTAGCCCATTCATTCTGGTACCACTGCAAACCCAGCTCCCTAATAGCATAAATACGCCTCTTGTAATGGTGTTTGGAGAATGTCTCATTTGGTAGTGAGGGAGGCGGCACGGTAGAGCGATACCTTTTAGCCAAAACACATAAACTCTGTGGCACCTCGAAGGCAATCGGATCGTTAACCCCAGCTAATCTACAAACGTTTTATTTGTTTGTTTGAAAGTACCTTTTGCAGGTTAAGTGCTTGCAGATTTAAGCCATGCTAATTTACTCTGAGCTTGAAAAAAAAACAAACAGGATATGGTGTATAGGCAGTGACGAGGTGTGAGTCACAGTTTATGCACACGTGTGTAGAGTATCTGCTGTGACAAACATACATGTGGGAGTAAGCGAAAGAGTGTGTGAGAATGTCTAAATGTGTGTGTGCGTTCGCGAGGCATGACTGTACTAGTGATGCAGCTCCACCACCGTGATCTAGACTCCTGCCTCCTTGTGACACCCGCTGCGCCTGCTTCATTAATCAATATGAGAGATGAAGACAGACTCCTGCTGCGCCGTGACGGAAAATGGTGGCTTGTGTTTCCAGCTGTGTGTGTATGTGTTTGTGAGTGCACCCAGACTGGAATGCCCTCGGGTAGAGCGTGGCAGACATGATGCAAACCTTCAAGGCTTCCTGCCCACACAGATCATCAGCATTGTTAGTGCCTTCATGTCGTTACAGAAAAAAAATAAATCTGACTTAATTTGTTGACTAGAATAGACTGATGTTGGCCGCTGCAATACATCTGCTAATATTTTTAAAATATGAACTATCAGTGGTTTAACTTTTGGAAGCTCTGCTCTATTAAAATCCACATTTGATTTTCTGAGGAGTCACAAGGTAAACTCAAAATCTGAAACTTCTTTGATGACATATATGTCCCTCTTTTTCCAAAGTGATACAGGCCTTTAGATAAATAATTAAGTTGTTATGTGCATGCACAAAATTGTAATTGCACACACCCAAAGAGCAACTGGTGTGTCTCTTTTAAAGCTCGACTTGTAAAAACAGCTTTAATGGCTTACTGGGACATTTCTGAGAACAAAGGTTTACTGTAACTCAAACCAAAGGGGGAAAAGCCCCAAATAAAGCTGTAATTTTCACCAGAAAAATATAAATAATACACTAAATAAACAGCTTTTTTTTTTTTTTTTGTCTTTTCACATGTTTTGAGCTGTTAAAAAACTTTTTGAATCCATTTTGAAGTGCTGCTTGAACTTGGGCAATGTGATGGAAAATAGCTTGCTGGAAATCCTGGTGTTTATTTTTATATAAAAAATAAGAACATGTACAATTTTATGGTTCGACTTCATAAGAAAATCGGAAACAATGCGCTCACATTCAAAATAGTCACTCACATAGGAATGACGTAACACCTCGATGATTTGTCTAACATACAAGCTGTATGTAGCTGAAGCATCTCTGAGCATTGACTAACTTTGTAGTTGTAAAATATTATTACGTAAATTTCTCTCACCCTTTGCAGTGCACACTGCCGTACAAAGCAGGCAATAAACGTGTCCGTATTGTGGAGGCATGGGGACAATTCACTTCACAAGAAGGAAGTATAAATTTTAACAAGGGCATGTGATGCATCATTGTCACATCTCTTTGTGAGTTTGAACAAATGGCTTGTCACAATTTGAGAAAGCTGACATGGAAAATATATTTCCAGGTCAAGTGAGATCCATGATTATGATTTTTTATTTTTTTTTTATTTTTTATGGTTTGTGATAAAATGGTTTAGGGTCTTTGAGCTAAAGTGGGAAGCACACTTTGCTTTGACTGGTGAGTGAGTTTGATTTGTCTCGAATACTAGTGCGATCTAAAAGTAACGTGTACTTTTTTTTGTAATATATTTTCAGTGTTGCTTGACAGCAACATAGTATAAAATTATGATATGATATTTATATGGATGGAATGTATTTACTTAAAAACAGGCTTTGTAAGATGGTTATCTATGGTTGTTACTGGTTTGAGCTTTAGCCTAACGATGTGTCTTTATTTTGTTTATACAGATGGCTAAAATTCACGTTCAAGTTTCTTTATTGTCATTCGCAATATATGTGGTACATGAGGTGGAACAAAATTGTGTACTCAAGGTCCCAGTTACACCCAAAAATAGCAAAAATATAAAATATAAAAAGAAGCAGTATATAAGGATCTGCTATACACTAAGATATACGCTGAACAAATGCTAAACAGTACGCTAAAAGATCTAGGATATATGCTAAACATTAATAATGTACAATAATATGGTATTTTAAACAACAGCCCGAACATGAGAGTAGTAGAGTCTGTAGAGAGTAGATGGTTATGAATGAATACAGCAGCATGAGATGGATAACATAACAGGAAAAACAGTGACACAGTAATGTGGACTTTTTCATAAGCTTTGCTATATTTGTTCTTCTGATTTAAAACAAAATTCAGCACAATCATGTGACTTTGCTTGACCAACACTAGCAGGAGTGAGATTTCATCAATGACCATTTAGAACTTTCTTTTGTACAGTGGGATTTACATCCAAGTTTATTTCCCTTACTGGGGAACTAGGAATGCGTTATTTTCTGGTGCTTCCAGTGACTCGAGTCACCAAGGCCGCTTGCGCTATAAAACGTTATCAGTCATTTGGAAGGTTTTGCCTCTTTAGTGTACCACAAGAACATTTTGTGTGTTTTCAATATAACTTGTGATGTTTGGCCAGGACTCAGTGCCCTCTTTGTTCACCATTGTGCATTGATGAATGAATCGTTCTTCCAAATTTCATACAGAGATGCACTGTGTGAAGCCATAGCGACACCTCTGGGAACACTCAACTGATGGACAGATTATATATGAAGCCATCAGGAGTAGGACTTTATTTACTGCTATAAAAGGGAGTTTTAACCTTCTAATGAAAGTAAATCTCATGATATTACATATAAAGTACTCTGTATATCTTCTTGGTATGGCAAATGTTCAAATTGATTAATTTTTTTACATTTTCATTGTTTTTAAGGAAAATAGACCATTAGAAACTACGATTAATGAAAAGTGAGAATCATTTCATTCATGTTAACAAAATAAAAAGTATGGATTTTGGTAGATTTCTCTCAGTTCTCATCATTCATGATAAGGACAAGTGTTTTACTTTTTTAATGTTAATCTTTTATGAGTTTTATTTACCTCCTCATACTAAAACCCTTCATTTGCTTATAGCAACACTCATGATAATCTAAAAGTTTCCTTAGACAACTTCACATATATAAAAAGGTAAGCCATTTACAAAATTATCTAAAATAAAACATGTTTAATGGGAACAAGAAATGTGGCACAGTATTGATTAAATAGTTTCTTATTAAAAATTGTTATGGCAGATAATTTGGAGAATGCATAAAGAAAAGGT